AACCTCCCAGGCTCTCCATATTTCAGTATCTTTTATCTCCTGCTAAGAGCTCTGAAATATACTTCTTGTGTGTGTTCCAAGCAGCAGCAATGAAAATTGGGGGTGTGCACACAAACTGGAGTGGGCTATAGAGACAGGTTTTGTTTTGATCAGACTCTGTTGTCTATGTAAAATGCATTCATTTTCCTAGGAAAATGAATCCTAGCAGGGTAGAAGCCAGTTTCACACCTAGGTCAAAGTAAAAAATATCTGTTATTTTTCTCTCCTTTTCCAAATACACAGCACATGTATACACACAACTTACAACTACACACGTGTATGCAAATTCATATAAGTACACCAACGTGCACAGAGTTGTGTATTCACACTGCATGCACACACATGCAAGCAGGTATCATCTGTATTCATTCTGTGAAACAAATAATATCTCCTAGATAAACCTTTAGGGTCCTTGAAAGAAGACATAATAGATAATGCCTCCCCTTCCCCAGGAAGTTGTTGCTGTGTAGAGCCATGATTTGGACTGCTGGCTTTGCTTTCTTTCTGTTGTGGATTTCAACCCTGCCATTGAATGTCATGTTAATCTTCACCAATGCAGTAGCACAACTTGTAACTTCTCACACATTCTATGACAAAATAATGAGGTTAAAAGAATCGACATAGGGCAAGCAACTTTAAATTTTACTCTTTACTAAATTGCCTTTTTTGATTTTGCTTTCTCCACCTTTCTCATTTCTTGTAGCTATTATAAGTCTTTTGCATATTCTCATTTTCGCTGAATGTCAGTTAATAAATTAGCATCTTGCCTATCTGAGAGCTCTCCATGATGCTGCAGGAATTTTGTCACAGAAATGTCCCCAGGGTTGTCAGTGTTGATTGTTTTAGGAAATTCCTTTCTAAATCCGTGTAGCTAGCTCTGGCTACCTCTAGATCCCATCAAAAGCAAGGATCCTAACAAGACATCCAAGGAAATGACGCTTGGGTAAAATGAGTTGTATTGATTTTCCTTCTATAGTAATCATTCTTATAAAAACAAGTAACAAAGAGGTTCTGCTGTAATGAATTCTGATGGCATCCGAGAGAGTTAGGTAAGGAGTCCTAACATTTTATAGTCATTTTGCTAGTGAAAAAGCTAAGGCTTTTATATACTATGAGAATTGGTAAAAGTCATTCAGAAAACTCAGTGATGAGCCAAGGTATCCTATCTTGTGACCTGTCTGTTGATGTCTTGCTCATTTTCTACTGAGCACTCTGTCTTCTATGCTGCTTGGTTTATTTATTTCTTTAGGTATTCTGCACAAAAATGTTTATCAATCTTAATGATGGTTTGGTAACTGTTATGTTACATTTCTAATGTGATCATTTTTATAAGGCTTAATGTTTAGTGGTTGCTTTTTTCCATTAAAGAATATTTGCCTGATGATATGAAGATCTTTCTTTTATATAGTTAGTTTATAATCTATGTGGAACTTAATTTTGGTACATTGGAATGTATGACTTCCATATAGGCCTATTTATATCAAGTTCTCAGGAGTTACTTCCCTGAGAATTTTACTTCAAACTCAAATTTAAAAAGATTTTAAGTACGGAATTTTATGGCAAAGATCATACTTTTAGTATTTAAAAATGCCATTCTGTTATGCCTGGATTTCATCAATTTGACTGTTACTCATCTGAAGTGTTACTGTGGTTTTAAAGTTACTTTTAACTACATAATTTTATACTTTTCATAATTTTTCTTAATCTTTGTTCTCAACAATTTTATGATTAGCCTGAATGTGCTTTTGTTATGACACTCTCGAAGTTATTTGATATATCAAATTATCTCTTACAATATTTTACCCTGTTACACATAGGGTAGTTTCTATCTCGTGTGTCTCCAACACTGTTATCTGTATTGTTCATGTTTTCCTCTGATCAAGTTTTCAGTTTATTGATCCATTCTACTGTATCCATATACTGTCAAATTTATCTATTGAATTCTTTTTTTCAAGTTATAAAATTGTCCTCTCACTTCAAAGGTATTTAGTTTTCTGATAAAATTCCTTACCATTAAAATTCTTATTGCATTCGATTTCTTTATTTATTTTATTCATTTACCTATTGTATTTTTAGCACAGGGTCTATAGGGTCTCACTATGTAAAATGGACTTGTATTGATCCACCGGTGTTCAGCCTCCCAACAGCTGGGATTACAGGTGCACACCACCATGCCCAGCCTCAATCCCCATCTCAGTGTGCCCCAGGATGGCACCAGCACAGCACACTGGGGATTCAACCCTAGACACTGTGTCTGCCTAAGCAGGTGCTTTAATCTGCTGAGCTATTTGACCAGCCCTGCACTCAATTTCTTAAGCACATTAACCAGTGGAGTTGTATCTACAATATCTAGACCTCTGATGTGTCTCTGTGTGTTGGCTTTTATTCCCTTAGTTTTCAGTGATTTGTTCTTAGACTTTTGGAATCCTCAGCAATTTTTTTGTTGAGTATTAGACACTATGTTTGAAAAACTACAGATAACTTAAAGCTCTGAGTGGTTTTAATCTTCCTCCAGAGAGGATTTAGTTTGGCTTCTGATAGGCAATAGGATAGAAAACTATAATCCAAGCAGGAATTATTTTCATTAAAAGTTGAACTTAAGTTTTTTTAAAAGTTGATTTATTTAGAGTTCATGTTTGCCCCAGAGAATAACCCTTTGGGGGACTCCACAAAAATTCGAAAGTAGTTATCAGGCTACTTCTACAGCCGTTGTCTCCTCTCAGCCCTCAAAGGCATCCAGAAACTCTGTTTTGTGTTCAGGTGGAAGGAGAGTCAGATCTCAGTTTTTCATCTCTTTAAGTTTGTGCTGTCTTCATAGCTCTCTGGTGCCATCATTGTTTTTAATAATCTGCCCAATGCCTCTAGCCATGCTTTGTGGGAGGGTAACTGCATCATGACAGTCAACGTTGGTCAAAAATAATTTAAACTTCTGTCTTTTCCTCTTAGTAAAGTTAGTCATCTTTTCATTATCCTTTTTAGGACATTATTATTGATTTTTGAATAAAGTATCCATCCAGCTATATCCATCCAGCTACTTGTACGTTTTTCTTCTGAGTTGTTGACCTCCATTTCTATTTTTAGATGCTCTGTATACTAATGGTAATTAACCCTTTATGATGAAGGAGCTACTATTTTTCAGTTTATAATTTTCCCTCAAGTAAGTTCCTTTTTCATTTTTCCTTGTTCCTTCTATGTTTTGAGTTAAAGAGCAAATTTTCTTTTCCAAAGATTCAAGGAGTCGATCAGTGTTTCCTCTTCTCGAAAGGAGCATGCTGATGAACAACTGGAAACTGACATTTTCTGGAAGTGACAGAGTGAAAAGATGTCTGATATGATGTTGACAGATCCAGTTGGAGGTTTAAGCTTTGTTTTCTATCTTTTCTTTTCTTTCTTTCTTTTTTTTTATTTTATTTTTTTATTTTTTTAGTACAGGATCCACAGGGTCTACAGGGTCTCACTACATAGATCGGACTTGTAGTAATCCTCCTGTTTTCAGCCTCCCAAGTGCTGGGATTACAGTTGTGTGCCACCACACCCAGTCTCAATTGCCATTTCAGTGCCCCAGGGGTGGGACCTGCGCAGCATACCTTGGATCAAACCCTGGCCGGTGCATTCTGCCCAAGCAGGCACTTTATTTAGTCCGCTGAGCTATTTGGCTAGCTTTTAAGCTTTGTTTTCCTGGTCTCATCTTCAGGAATGAATGGAAAGGACTCAAACACAGTGACTTTCATGTTGCCCTAGAAGGGTTTTGGGGGGTCATTTTTTTCCCATCTTGTGTTTTTCTTTCCTGAGTATTTTATCTGATCTATCATCTATGTTACTGTGTTAACAGCTCCCAAGCCTTTGCACCTTTCTTTCATAGTTCTCTCCCTCACACTCAATGCAAAAGGCTCTTAAAAGAAATCCTTTCCTGTAAACCTCAGATCTAAAATAACTTTCTTCATCTTTTCTCCTGTACTTCTATTTTATCAGTTTCTGACCTCTATACTACCCACCTTCTCAGGCTCAGAGTGTGGCCACCTCTGAGTCATGCTTCTGATCGTCAGCTTCAGCAAATAATTAGAGGGTGCAAATATTTACTTTTAAAGTTTTCCTCTTTGAAAAGATTACCGACTAGATCTTTTGCACCCTTCCTTCACGCTTGCCGGCAGGGACTCTGCCCTACGAGTATGCCACATAATGAAAAGCAATTGGCTTTCTCACATTTCATCTGTATTCATATTTATAAAAATATGCCCTTGCCCTCCTGGTTGGGAAAATCTAATTGATGTTTAAAAAGTAAAAGATTGCCATGTAGAATATCTGGAAAATTTCACAGCATGAGAAAACAATGCCTCCTTGCTAAGCTTAAGCATGCTGTATTTCTGTCTTCGGTGAAGGGGGACTCACCTTCTAAAACTAAACAGATAATGTTCACAGTGAAAGGAACTCAGACTGGATTATCAGCAATCCAGTAAGGCAGTGCCTGTGAAAGTCTCCTAGGGAGCCAACTCCAGCACTGTTTGTGCTTAAACAACAGCAATCAAAAGCCTCCCCTTCTGGAGGCTAGATCTTTCAACTTTCAGAGATGCCTACAGCAAAAAGCTTTCCTTTTTGCTCTTCAAAGGTTAAATTCTCTCCCTCTGTCTCAGGCACACACTCACGTCCCTAAATTTAAATTACACATTGTGCTGATGAAGCCACATTCTCTTTCTTTTATCCTGCCAGATTTCTAATTAGAGAAACTGTGTATTTATGTGTGTACATGTGTGATTATCTCACAAATTAAAGAGAACTTAGAAGACAGCATTAAAGTATTCAGGCAACTTAACCTACTATTTCATCTTTTAACCTTCACTGCAAAAGAAGTTGAATCCCAGGACTATTTTTAAATTTAAGAGGGCAATGGAGAGTGATAGAACAATTGGTGGTAAGGCTGTTAAAATCCTCTAATCAAGGCCGATCATCTTTCCTTGTTTCAGCTCTAGGCGAGGACACACCTACAGCCTCTGAGAAAAGCCAGGGCTCCAGTGACACCAAAACTGCTACCAGTCCTGATGGTAAGTTTCTGAGCTGTGTGAGCTCAAACCATGAATCTGGTACATTTTCCATGTGTAGTCCAGGATTAAGGGAATATGTGAGTCAATGAATCAAAAGCCATATTCTGCTGAGAAATGACAAAAATCACATCTATTTTTTAACACTAGTCTGTCTTAAAATAGCACATAACTTGTTCTGAACAAGCCATGTGATATTGAAGCCACAGTGAGTAATTCTAAGGCTAACCTAAAGTTACCTGGTGAAACACACATAAGTATTACTCACTTCTGTAGAAGGCTTGCCCCACTGTCAGGGAGCTCTACCTTGAATTAGTACTGAAATTGTTCTTGTATCTTCATTATTACTCTACTTCACTGCATTGCATCCGATGTCTTGGCCAAAAACATAGTGATTCCTTAAGAGAACTCTAGAAGTAAAATTACAGAAACCTTTATTCACATCTAATTTTGAAGGTACCTAAAGATTCTGAGCTTCAAGCATATTATTGTCACTTGCCCCTATGCAAATATGCTGAGCACCATTGAAGTACCACTATTTGCATTAGAAAAATAATTTTCTGAGCACACATGTATTTATAAGTATAGTATTTGGGCTGACGAGATACCTCAGTGGACTAAATGCCTGCTTAGGCAAGTGCAGGGACCTGAGTTCAATCCCCAGCACCACATGCTGTGCTGACCCCAACCCTGGGCGCACTGAGCCAGCCACTGAGATTGGGCATGGTGGCACATGCCTATAATCCCAGTACTGAGGAGGCTGAAAACGGGAGGATCACTATGAGTCTGAGATGCATAATAAGACCTTGTACCAAATACAATAAATAAATATATAAATAGTATAATCATAATTGATCAGGTAGCCAACTTTATATTTTCTTTAAGTTGTTTTTGTTTTTATACATATAAAATATAAAAATTATATGCATGAAATACCATATTATTATGCTTCAATACATATATACATTGTGTGATGTTTAAATAAGGTTAAATGTATCTCTTCAAAAGTTTATTATAATGAAATTTTAAAAATTTTTCCTTCTAACTTTAATTAATTTTATTGAGAAAGAAATAGCAATGAGGCAATTTCAAAACAGTTTAGTAGGACAGTTACAATAATTAATACATTGCATATTGTTGTCTTCTTAGTAGTTATTCAGAGTACAAGATGTAGACATGATATCTTTGAAATGCACAAAGTATTGTTTTCTATGGTCACTTTACCATGCAATAGCACATAAGAACTTCTTGCTCTAAGTATAGCTGAGTAACCACTAGTCAACATTCCTCTCTCCCATTCCTACTCTCCTTGGTAACTACCATCCTACTCTCTATCTATGAAATCAACTTCTTTTTCATTGTTTTTGTGGTACCAGGGATTGAACTCAGGACCTTGTGCTTGCCAGGCAGGTGCTTATGCTGCTGAGCTATATCCCCTGAATCAACTTCTTTAGATGCTACATATGAATGATAACATGATGGTATTTGTCTTTCTATGCCTAGCTTATTTTACTTAAATAGTGATCTCTAATTTCATCCATGCTGTTTCTAATGGCATGATGCATTTTTATGGCCAAATAAAATTCCACTGTGTAGATGTACCACGTTTTCATCCACTGATGGACATTTAGGTTTTTTTCATTGCTCAGCCATTGGTAGTCATGCCACCATGAATGTGGAAGTGGAGAGGGCTCTCTGACACACTGAATTCATTTCTTTTGGATATATCCCACAGGAGCATGGTTGGATCATGTAGTAGTTCTACTTTTTGTTTTTGAAGAAACGTCCTTCTTGTTTCCTATAATGGCTGTACTGATTTACATTCTTACCAACAATTATCTAGGGCTCTCCTTTTTCATACCTTCAGTACCCCTGAGATCAGGTTTTTTTTTTATAACAGCAAGCCTTACTGGGGTGCAGTCATATTGTGGTTTTGATTTGCATTTCCCTGATGACTAGTGATGTTGAGCTTTTTTATGTAACTATTGGCCATTGTCCTCCTCCCCCTCCCCTGCCCCTGCCC